GGCCGAATCATGGCCTTCATCGATCCCACCAGTCCTGCTACACAGAATCTTCGCACCTAGTTTCTGTCATTGCTGACCATCGAGGTTGGCCACCGAGGTTGACCACCGATGTATCACGTCCGGGTCGCTAGTTATGGGAGGAAAGGTGGGAGGAAGGGAGGCAGGTGAATGGTAATCAACTTCTCAATATATACCATTTATAAACGATGTTGTTTGAGAAGGGTCCAGCCACCGCTGCCAGTCGGTTGCCCGAATGCCCGATCTGTTTTTTTCATGCCACTCGATGATCCGCGAAGCAAAATGGACTGCACTTCGTGATCTAGATCTTGCTGTAGCCGGGAAGCTAGTGTATATAACTATTATGTGTGTGAATGTATTTGAATTCAATGATTGAGGGCAGGACATTGCGATTAATGCAAATGAGCAAAGCGAGCTGGAAAAGAATGACGATAATAATCCCTGGAGAAGGTCAACAAGGGAGAAAAAGGACGAAGACGAACCTAGCTGTATTTGAAGATTCGTGTTTGTCCTTCGTACCCTTGTTTCCCTATTCCATGGATTTTTAATGATTACGGCCCAATTAACAAAAAGTTACAATATAAAATCACAAAAATGTTACGCAGTGCATGACCATCGTTTACAAGAAAATAGTTTTCTAATTTGCAATTTCTAATCATACAATTTTCCTATCATCTCAGCCTTCTCTTCTAGACAGCTGGTATGGCACATGCATTCCTAACTTCACACGCTACGTTGTCATTGAGCTGTTTCGACGCTGTAACGAATTTTTTGCTTTTTTCGCTAGTTTTTTTTTTTTTAATCTGTGCTGTTTTCCCATGCGCTATTTTGTTGACGTACCGTTTTGAAGTTGTGTTTATTTGTAGTGAGTTATTTTTGATGCGCGTTATTTTTGCTCTGAGCCATCTTGACGCCACGCTGTTTTGATGCGTGCTCTTTTGACTGGGGATGCCACGAACTTTTGTCGAACCGAAGTTTCGATGATCGAATCAAGCAGGTCGAAAGATTTTGAATTTTAGAACTTTCTATATTGTAAAATTTGACGGGAGTCGAATTTTCCAACTTGTTAAGCTAAGAAGTTCGACACTTTTCGAACCGTCGAACTTATTACGCTAGAAAATTCGATTGTTTTCGAACTTTCGAACTTATCACGCTGCAAAATTCGATGCTTGTCTAACTTGCGAACTTGACTGACCAAAAAATTCGATGATTTTCGAACTTTCGAACTTCTTGCACTAAAACGTTCGAAGCTTTTCGAACTTCCGAATTTCCCATGCTAAGGAATTCGATAATTTTCGAACTTTCGATCTTAGCTATCAAGAGAATTCGTAAAGTTGCGAACTTTCGAATCCTGAAAATTAAGAAGTTTGACGACCTTCGAACTTTCAGGGTAAACGTTTGACGTTCGTCGAACTTCGAAAGACCGGCGGACGGTTTCATTTGAATTCAAGTAGTGAGGTACATTCGTAATTTTTTTTCTCTCGAGCTTTTACATCCGGTGCTGCGTTCCTTACGAAAGACAATTGCGTTTATTTCAGTGTTCTGTCATGCTCAGTTTTAAAAAAATGAATTCCCGAAGAGGCGAGGAAGGACGACGGGTTTTTGACGATTATCGTTTGTGCCAGATTTGAGGCGCGCTGTAGCCGAAGTTATTTATGGCAGAGATATTAAACGTTTTAAGAATGATATATGTATAGCCTAGGTAAATGTCGTCTTAAGATGTGATTATTGTTACTCAAGGTGAGTTTCTAAGAAATTTCCAAACATGCAATTGTGCCCTAAACTTGGTATTTATTTCCGTCTAAGTTGTTTGAGGTATCGCATTTAAATTAACACCACAATCAGTACATATCATTGCCATCTGCAAAATACAAAATAATGTATTCATTGTTTTTTCACGTTAAGGAATAAATCAACTGATGGAAGAAGATTTCTGATATTGTTCGAGTTCAGCACGTCATTAAAAGAAAACTTTTTTTTTTTCGCTTCACGTTTCTGGGACGTGTTTCTTTTAGCCTGTACACATTTTGGCAGGAGAAGCTTGTTTCGATATTCTGAACCTCTGAATATGAAAGAATACAACACTTCCGGTGAATTCTTGATAGTTTTTTTTCTCCAGCTTTTTATCCCCGCATTTATGTATATATATATATATATATATATATATATATTTTTTTTTTATTATTATTGGCTAAGTTATTTAGGTCGAAAAGGCATAGTTTTGAATTTCCGAACCGTTGAGCATGTGACGAGTAGTGCCTTCTGACAACGAGTTTCTAACAATGACCATCTACGCGATCTTTTATGCTGTGAAGAGCAACAGTAGCTATACATATGCATAATTAATTTCAGATTAAAATAAGCTCGACCACGCCCTCTTTCTCCGTATTATTTTCTTTAACAGTCCGAATCTTCTGGTGGGGGGGGGGGGGGGGGGGGGAGGGGGGGTTGAAGCCCCCCTCCTCCTCCCTATTCCCCCTCCCCCCCCGTTTTTTCCTCTTCCGACGCCACTTGCATGGTAGAACGCTCCTCGACCTCGAGTTGTGTCGGCTTCAGTGCTTTTTGCGAGGCGATTCCTCCGTCCCAGAAAATAAACCTCCAGGACGATTACCAACTTAACTTACTATATGCCAACGTCAGTCGGGCGGCGTTCGATCGATTACTACCATAGTGCAAGGGGTGGGGAAGAAGTTTGCCAGGTCGCTTCAAGGTTTTTCTGAGCCTCAACCTCCTGCCCGCCCCTGGCCGTTTCGAACTGGATTAGTATCTCAAAACTGTGTTCGTGTGATCACTACTGCGTGATGCAGGTTAAAAAAAACCTCGCCCCCTCCCCCTCCCCCCCCTCCCCCCCCGATCTGGCAGTCAGAATTACTGATCTATGGTCACACGTCACTCTGCACTGGCAAATATTCCAGCACATCCGGGACACTTGTCATCTCATTTAATTGCCTGACCAACTTCGCAGTCAAGATATTACACCCTAACTTTTCTAAACTTGACTTCGTGAAAACCAGTGAGTCGTGAAAACGTTATTTGAAACTGAAACTGTGGAGGAACTTGAAAACCGGACTTCAAACTTTGAAAACTTGGGCTTGAAATAAATTCAAAATCTTCTAAGTTTTTTTTTTTTCGATTTGAGCGCTAAAAGAGAATCAAACCCTTCGAACTTTTCGAACTTTATGCAGAAAGAAATTTGAAATCTTCGATTTGTTCGAACTTCATATTTATAAAATTTCGAAGCGTTCGAAGTTTTCGAATTTTATTTCCAAATAATTTTGAGATCTTCGAATTTTTAGAACTTCAGATACCTAGAAATTCAAATTTTTCGATATTATTTCGAACTTCGAGTTAGGAAAGTTCGAAATCTTCGAATTTATTGAACCTCAAGTAAAAAAAAAATGTTCGAAATGTTCGAGCCCGAAATTTTAGAAACCGTGAAAGCATCGAACTTTTCGAATTCGAAACTCCGCTATGATCGAAAGTTGCGATTTTTCGAATTCAAACCTCGGTCGGTACAAAAATATCAAAATTTTTCGATATCGAACCTTGGTTCGCTTCGCAAATATTGAAACCTTTCGAAATCAAACCTAGGGTGGTTCGCGACATCCCTACTTTTGACGGTGGCGTTTTATAGTGTGGTGCCATGTCGTATGCTGCTTTGTCACGGTGTCGAACTCCCTAAAAAACGAAGCATTTGTATATTTGTATTGTGCAGAATTATTGATGTCATGTACAGGCATAAAAGAATTCTAATGCTTGTTAGTTTCAAGCCGAGCATTATCAAGTATAACAAAGTTTATATGGATTTGTATAAACTAAAATGTTTTGCTCGCGCTTATCAAAATAGAGGATTATTTTTTATTGCGAAAAAAATGCATATTGTTCTCCGCTCCATAATCCCAGATCTTTATATTTAGGTTTAGTATGATCCCCTGAAGCCGGCGCTAGTTTTTTAATATATATATATATATATATATATATTTCTAGACATTTAAACATTCAGCTGCTCAAAACCTTCATGCCAAGGAATCTTTAAAAAAAAGGCTTGTTGAACATTATTTTTCAAGAGCGCCGTCCTACCGTAAAACAAGTTCTAGTTCTGCAGACAAGAATAGAGTCATCAAAAATAGTAACGAAGGCTAAAAAATATATAGCCTATATGTGTTCGTTGATTAAACAGACGGCAACTGCAACCTATAGGCATGTTCATTATGTTGCATTTAGAACTTCAGTCGAGTTCCATACTCCAAAAATAAGTTAGAGCAGAAAGTTCTTATTTTCAATTTAAAAGTGCTATGCGTCGCAAAGATCAAAGAAAGGTTTAGAGCCGAGCTTTTACAATGTCTCATGAGTTGAAGCATCGTATTTGTCTTTAAGGCTTCCAGAAAGCGAACCAAGATTCTTAGAATATAAAATACAGGGTCTGTAAGTGCAATATGTGGATATCTGGATGTGCTTTTATTTAAGAATTTTGAATTCGCATTATTTTTCTATTGGTTGTAAATCTGCTTGAAACTGTAACAGCCAAACAGATTTTTTGTCTTCTCCTAGCCCCTATTTTTCGGAGGACATCAAATGTTGCTGTCTGCTCGCTGATATTGGATGTGAAATTGTCCGTGGCTTTGCCTCTCCAGTCTCCGGGAGATGATGTTTACTCTATTTGTAGAGAATGCCACAATAACAGTAGGAAAATAAAACTTATAACATCTAAGGGGCTTTAAAATTGCTTATTTCAATGACACAATTGGGGCCTATATAGCAAAACCAAAAAACGTCTGTGCTCACTGCGGTCCGCCAAAAAAATGCTGAGATGGCAGCTTCTTAGCTTTAGAGTTACTGAGTTCGGTTTTTTCTAACATGCCGCGTTTTCTTTTCCTTTCTATCGTTTGTTATGTTTGCAGTGTGATGTACCGACGTATTTCCAAACCATTTTAATGAAGATTGTAACACGAAAAAAAATTTCCTGTTTTTTTTTTTTACAGAACGTGCAGAAACGAATGACAGCACTTTACAATGGCAGCTCGACGGCCATCAAGCTGGAGAAACATTTTGGTGTAAAAATGATGGGAGCAATTTTACACTGATAACGACATAATTCACAAGGGAATTCCTAGTGCGGCAAATCAGACTTTAATTCTTGGTGACGACGCTTTTTTTTTCCACCTCTCTTATGCTACTCTCGTCGTTCATTTCAACCATTAAATTTCCCGAATAAGTAGAAAACAACACACGCAGGCGCATGTGCTCTACAGTGAATTACAGCTTAAGAAACACCAGGCGCTTCCCATCATGTTCAAGAGTACTGCTTTGTCATTTGTTATTGACGTTCTTAGTGGCTAATGGCAAAATATGTTTGACTGCAGAGCAATAACGATATTGCCAAAACCAGCCATCGTACCCTGTTTTATTTTATTTTTTTGCTCTTTAAACTGCCAGTGACGATCGTGCCTAGGAAAGTTTGGAAATCATGATGTGGTGTATATTTAAAAACATAAAAAGTGAAAAGTCATTGTCTGTCATGTTTCACGGATATTAAAATGCACGGGGTGTACACGGGGTTGACATTAGGGCACCCGAAAACAACCTCGGCATGTAAATTGCACTGCCTGCTAATGAAGTGTCACTGAAGAAGTACAGTTTCTGTCATTTCTCAAATTATTTGTATAATTTATTCCCGATTCAATTCCGCAATGTGGTAACAAGCGTGGTATGAGAGTTTGCCGCAATTGAATGTTTTCCTTACCATAGCATTGCCAAATTTATTTATAAATAGTGCGCTAAGAATTTACTGAGGATGCACATTCAGCGGTTGAGGATCGAATCAACTAAAACTTTCAAATATAAAAGAAAAAATGCTTAACCTAACATGACTCTTTGTGTGTTGCTGCAAAATTACAGCGAAAGCGAGACAACCAACTTTTAGTGTTCACACATAACATCCACTCATCTCTGGACCACGGATCTCAGACTCATTGTAAAATCCTCAACTTCTCAAAAGCATTCGACAAGGTATCCTATCAACTGTTACTGTGAAAACGTTACCTGCTCAGTAATGAAAGCACTTCTTGTCTCAGTTAGAGTGATTCACGACTCACAGATGAAAAAGTGTAACCGTAAATGACAATAATTCAATATCTCTTCCCGTAGACTTTGGTGTGCTGCAAGTTCCTGCTCTTTTATCTATGTTATTAATCTATATTAACGATGAACAAAATCACGTTTCCTCTTCCATGAACCAATTTGGTGGCGATTGTGTTCCTTATAAAGAATTGTGATGTCCACCCTTAAAAAAATTATTAATGAGTTTCAATTGTGTTTCTAATGTATTCTTATAGAATAGATTAAAAAAGACTCCCAATTGAAACTCATTGACGATTTTTATAAGGGCACGCAATACAGTCTGATATTAATGCTATTTCATTTTGATATGATGCGTGGCATATAAAGCAAATAATTAGAAAGAGGAACGCAATGAGATTATCACGAAACGTTGATGCGAGTGCTACTACTACTTGTTAAATAGCCCACTCAAAAGCGTAGTTTCTTTTAAATATTTAGGTGTCTATGTAACTTAGGACCTGCGATGAAAAACTTACACCGATTCTGATATTAGTAACGCAAACCCCCACGCTTGGCTACCTGAGACGTAACTTTCCGCAGGGTCAATCTTTATTAAAACTGCTTTGTTATGAATCATAAGTTCGACCAAACCTGGAATATGCAAGTTCACTCTGGGACCTTGGAACAGAAAGTAGCAAAATGTCAATTGAAGCCGTACAAAACCGTTTAGCCCGCTTCATAATATCAAGTTAGCATCGCACATCAAGTATCACATTCCTTAACTCAAGTCGCTCATTGTCCCCTCTTTCCACTCACCGCACAAAATCTCGTTTGTGTTTGCTTCAGATATAATATTATAATAGTCCTAGCCTACGAGAATAACTAATAAATTAACCAGTCTACGTCTCCTCTCGCCTCGACCATCTTCGCAAAGTTCGCACAACCACTGTCACTCTTATTAGCTTGTCTGCTCTTTCATCCATAGAAATAGTTGTAAATGGAACTGGCTTCCCCCATCCATTGAAATCATCGCAAAGTTTTCCCGTTTTAGGCAAACACTAAAAAGTTGTTATTCGTGTATTTAAGCCGCATTAGTCATTGTTTACTACGTTTGAACTCCTGTTAATATTCCCCTCTTTAATGATTGGGCCCTGAGTTTGCAATAAATAAATAAAACAAATATGGTGTTTACTATGATAGGTTGCGCGTACTAAAGCTCCCAAAGTGATATCTGTGCCAATTTACTGCATCGCGCTTCCCCGCTTTGAGAATGCTGCCACCGGACGACCAGATTGGGCCAACAGGAAGTCTGCCGGGTGGAACGCTGCAGAAGCTGGTCGGCAGCGTGGTGGATGACGCGTTAACTGCTCGTTCACCGTGAAACTCTGAAGGTTTTTAAAACATTTGGCAAGTGGTCGTAGTTTCCTTTAAAAACACGTGAACGTTATTTAGGGGCGAAGCTGCTTAGGGTCCAGCCTTGTCCGTCGGGCGTCCGTGCTCACATCGACTGCCATCCCATCTGTCTTCTTAAAAAAAGAAAAAAAAAAGAAAAATGCTTGCGCAGTCGTCAGGGTTCGAACCTGTGCGGGGAGACACCACTGGATTTCTAGTCCATCGCCTTAACCACTCGGCCACGACTGCGGGACAAGTAGGGGGCTCTGAGATGTGGCAGTAACTCAAGAGCTGGAGATGCCATGGATGAAACGTTGCATGTAGCCGCTCACCGTCTATACAAGAGAGGGTGCTGCGGTCAAATGCGTATAAAATAGCGTTAAACTTTGCATGCATTGGCTCAACGTTTATAGACGAGAACGCGCTGCGGTCAAATGCTCAACTGCGCATATAACCACGATCCATACCACACATTCTCTTTCTGACGTGCACCGTTGACTTAAGCGGTGGAGATGCGTTCCCACGGCTTCTAGCGGATCCAAGCTGATCCTCTAAAAGAACCACTGGCTCTGCATTTCACCGACCATAAAGCAGTAATAATTAAATCGAAACGCAATCCGGAACTCAGCACTACCAATGAGCATTAAAAAAAAAAATGACCGCATCTCCACGTGGTGAATGATATTGATTGAGGCGAAGCTCTGGTGGCGCTGATGATACTGATTTTGTTCATAGGTCGTGCTGATGGTACTGATTTTGATGGTGCTGATGGTTCTGATGGTGCAAAGTTTAATGCAATTATATACGCATTTGACCGCAGCGCCCCTCCTGTATAGACGTTGAGCGGCTACATGCAGCGTTTCATCCATGAAATCCCCAGCTCTTGAGTTGCTACCACATTTTAGAGCCCCCCAAAACGTCCCGCAGTCGTGGCCGAGTGTTTAAGGCGATGGACTAGAAATCCATTGGGGTCACCCCGCACAAGTTCAAATCCTGTCGACTGGGCAAACATTTTTTTTTTAAGACGATAGATGGGATGGCAATCCATGTGAGCACGGACGCCGGACGACGGACGACGGACAAGGCTGGGCCCTAAGGAGCCTCGCCTCTTAAAAAAATCAGCACCATCAGCACTACCTCTGAACAATAACATCAGTATCATCAGCACCACCAGAGCTTCTCCCGAATCAACATCATTCACCATGTAAAGATGCCGTCTTTTTTTTTTTTCTTTTTTTTTTTTGCGAAAGCGCAGCACAGCAGGAAAAAGACAGCTTGTCGAACGCAAAGCTCGTCGCGTGATCAAATACCGTATCTTGGCACGTAAGATGCTGCCTCTCTGCCTTCAAACATTTGGATGCCGATTAGTAATCTACGCGGTGTGATTGATTTTGAAGGTGCGTCGCTTCTGAAGGTGAATGTATCTCTGGAGCACCGGCTTCCTTTACTATCAGAACTGTATTTTTACCTTCCGGCAGTTGCGGGCCAGAAACGAGTTTTGTTCTGTGCCGACGGTACAGAGCGAGGACTTTGCCACGGAGCCTGTGATCGTTATTTAGCTTCTATACGTTTCTAGTAACCAATCCAGTCGAAAAAAAACGAAAACCACTGCTGATCGTTATTTAGCTGCCAGAAATTTCTAGCAACCAATTCAATAGAAGGAAACGAAAACCAACTTTTCTTGATCCCCCATCTTCAGAACAATTCCGACTCTCCTTGTTCCACTCTTCAAAAGCAGCAATGTGGTTTGGAAGCGAAACCTAACTGCGTTGTTCTCCTCGTGTTTTTATGCGATGTTAGTAATTGGAATCCATTTGAGTAGATTTTGAACAATTTTATAGTTAACAATAGCAATCACTGATCAGTGCAGTGTACGGGAACAGCTGACGATTCAGACCTCCGCCACCGGTATATATGCGGCAGACATTTACAAGCGATATACACCTTGAAAAATTACCGAAGCGTTACTACATCTACACGGCGTACATTCGTGATCGATATTTAAGCGTTCGAAAAGAGAGACACCGCACTTAAACCTGCCAATCCATGTTTTGTGACCAAGCCGGGAGACTTGCGTTTGACGGGTGGTGTCTTTCCTGTGGTGCTGCACTTCCGTAAGAAATTGTACCGGTCCTCAAAGGCAACTACGACAGCTAACACAAGGTAAAAAAAAATGAAAGCTGTTTACAACTCCCTGTAACGCCGAAATAGATCGCAGCTCTTGAGGAGGAGGAGAGGAAGGTACGGAAAGGGGGCTATGACCCTCCTCCTCCCCTGCTCAGCTCCCATTTAGGAAAAAATTTTCCGCTAAATTTAGCGCAAAAAATTTCCCGCTAAATTTAGCGGGGGTAATTTTTCCGGTAGATTTAGCGGGAAAATTTTTTTACTTCATTTAGCGTTGAAAATTTTCCGCTAGATTTAGCGGGCCAATATTTCTGCTAAATCTAGCGGAGAAAATCTTCCGCTAGATCCAGCGGGGAAGTTTTCCCACTAACTTTAGCGGGGAATATTTTCCGCTAGTTTTAGCGGGGAAATGTTTCCACTAAATTTAGCGGGGAATATTTTCCGGTAGTTTTAGCGGGAAAATTTTTCCACTAAATTTAGCGGGGAAAATATTCCGCTAGTTTTAGCG